CCAATGCCGTTTCCGTGCTGTATCCCGGCCTGAAGCCCGACTGGAGCGGGTCTAGATAGACTGTTTCCTCCAGGTGCCGGGGGAATTGCTGCGCAACCACACTCTCAACAACCTTCGCCACAAAGCGAAGGTTGGAGACCGGGCGATAGTTAGCTAATACATCTGGGTCCAGGGAAGGCTTCTTAAGGAGGGGCCTCACGACCGCCTCCTTCAGGGCCGCGGGGAAGACACCCTCCCGCAAAGAAGCGTTTATAATTCCCTGGAGCCAGGCTCGTGTACCCTCCCGGGCAGCCAGTACCAGCCAGGAGGGGCACGGATCCAGTAAACATGTGGTTGCGTTCAGCCTCCCCAGGATTCTGTCCACGTCCTCAGGAGCCACAGAGTCAAACTCCTCCCATATAACAGTCTCAAGACTTGCTCCTGTCTCCTCCCCCGGGGCCACCCAGTCAGAGTCAAGACCTTCTCGGATCCGAGCGACTTTGTCATACAGATATTGAGCAAAATCCTCGGCCCTCCCCTCCAGGGGATCCTCCCCCCCTCAACTGAAGGAGAGAGCGGGTCACCCTGAAGAGGGTGGCCGGGCGATTATCTGATGACGCAATGAGGGTGGAGTAGTAATTAGACCTCGCCACCCTCATCGCCACTAGGTAGGATCTAACCTGTATCCTTGCCTGTGCTCGATTGGATTCGCTTCGGCTCGCCCTCCAACTGCTCTCTAGGCGTCTTTTCCGGCGCTTCATCTCTCTCAGCTCCTCGGTAAACCAGGGAGCCAGTTGAGATCTGCGCCGGGTCAGAGGCCGCAAAGGCACGACTCGGTCCAATGCTGCGGCATTGGATATTATATTGAATATGGCAATGCCAACACTCAGCCATTATGAGCATTCTCTCCATCTAGGAATGAAAGAAGTTTCAACACTGTATATTATCTGTAACAGCACCCAAATCACCGAATGTGCAAAGCCACCTGATTTGATTTGCTGCTTTGAAACAAGTCTGGGCTATGATTAGTGTGTCAAGATGGTTCAATTGAAGCTTTCTTGAATCAAAGCACTGTTTTACCCTACCCTAATAATTTGCCATAAATATTTTACTGTTTGAAAGTTATTTTGTGTGTCAGTTTTAAACCAAATACACTGCTGATGGAGTATCTTTTATGTGTTTGCAAGTGCAGCTGATTTATTTTAATCATTTTTATGCTAAAGTGCAATACTGCTTTTTTAATTTAGAAACTTGTCTCTTTGCAGAACATTAAAATTCAATGAATTTTGCATGCAATAGATACATTTATGCTGCAATTTATTATTATTATTATGCAGAGGAAATAAACTGCATCAGTTTATACCATCTGCATATTATTACTCAAATGATATAAATTGATGAAAACTTACATGATGATACTACCAATAAATGATGTCAATCCTCAAAATGCATGATTCCGATTCAGTTGACATACATAAGTAGCAGACAACCCCTCTTCATTTAGTTCCACTAAAATGATACTTTATTCTATAAACCTCAGCAGTAAAGACTTCAAAGAGAGTCACCATCTCATGTTATGAACTGATAACTTCTAATATTAATGTTGCTTAAATTCTTGGAATCTAATCCATTCTCAAATAAATTACTAAAACTCTTTTTTCCTTCCTTCCTTCCTTCCTTCCTTCCTTCCTTCCTTCCTTCCTTCCTTCCTTCCTTCCTTCCTTCCTTCCTTCCTTCCTTCCATAGTTCCAAAATCCAAATGCTTTTTCACCACCTTTCCGCTTTGGAACAGTTCCCAATGGCAGCACGGAGAGAAATATTCGCAACAATTATGAACTGATGCATGCCTATATGGTAAAGTTTAACCAAAAATCGGTGCAAGATGCTTTATCATCACTGAAGACAGGGTGAGACTGCTGCCTTCCAAATTTAGCATAAATAATAATGTTGACTATATAAATCTATCTCTTCAGATATCTCACTTCTTCAAAATATTCCTTCTACCAAAATATTGCATGTATTCCATTGCACACCATTGCCTAGAGGAGATATGAGGAAATTTTGAAGCATAAATATTTATATCCATTTCAGTGAAATGCAGTAAGGAGATCAGTAGTATGAAACAATGAACGCACATTGGAATGAAGACAAAGTAAGGAAGTAGCAAGGAATTGGGCATGCATATTTAGCCTTATGTACATATATGCACATGGGAAAAATCCCAACAGGAAGAGGCAGCTACAGAGAGAAATAGACTTTCCAACAGTCTGTTAAAGAATTCAGTGGCAGACTACCAGAAGCACCATTCCCTACTCTGCTAGCACTCCACACCAGTCCACCAAGCAGTTATTTGACAAACTGCCAGGAAGAGGGGGCTGGGATGAAATAAAGACCAAAAGCAGAGCTAGGTTTTATGGCCCAGTTAAGAGTTCTATGCTGTTTATAGTCATGAGTTGCCTACTGGGATAAACACAAAAACCTTATGGAAATATGGGAATAATAAGAACAAAATGTGAACTGAGCCAGTCAAATGGTTCAACAACTTGTCAAAATATAGCTAGTATTAAATAATGCCATATATCCAACATTCCCCTTTAATCTGTGCTCCATAAACATTCATGAACTTTGTGGGCACATTAAAAGCAAACAAAAGGGTAACAGCATGAGACCCGCTCTCCCAAGAAGATTGACCACTGTATGAGGCAAAGAGAAATTAGTGCCCCACGAGTGCATGTGGGGGTTGTTTTAAAGTAAGAGATGGAAAAACTAAGAAAAATGGGAAAAGATGCAGTAGGTCTTTCCCTGCTCTCTACGTATTTTTCAAGAAATTTACTCTCTAGGAAAGTACCAGAATAAAATGCATGTTTTCAGGGATTAAAGGCTCTCAAAAATATAAACAGAATGATTTGCTCCATCTTTATTATGAACATAGATTTGGTGACAGAAGCTGTCTGTCTATAAATATTCAAGATCACTTCCATCTTCATGATGACATTACTTGGGCAATATAAAGCTTACATTCCTGCCCTTATATTGAGATATAACATGATCTCCAACCACTTGTCATATTTAAAGATGCTCATGGGACTCTTCACAGGAGCAGGGGTCCTGGCCAAATCTAATTTGAGTAATTACATTTTGCTTAACACTATCTCTCCAGCTGTTTGATTGGGAAATGGTATGCTTTACTACTTTAATCACTGTGTACTTTTCCTAGGCATGTTGCCGAATTATTGCTACATGTTTTTCATAGTTAAGGAAGAGTATGTTATAGTGAATGAAGATGCTTTCAGGTTTGAGTTATGGAGAGAAGTGAAAGATGTTTTCTTTCTTGGGTTCTGAAGATATCTTTAAAGACTGGAAGATGCTGGAAATGTGCATTGATCCCATGAGTACTCAAATTTCAGTTGTGCATAAATATTTGCATTACCTGGATTCATTCTTTCTCACAATTGATTTCTAAACAGTGGTTTAATTTTGTACACTTTTCTGTTATTCTTTCCTTTTTTGGGTTTTTGACATTCTATAGGAAACTGGATGCTTTTATTTATGATGCTGCTGTGCTAAACTATATGGCTGGCAGAGATGAAGGCTGCAAGCTAGTGACAATTGGCAGTGGAAAGGTCTTTGCTTCTACTGGCTACGGCATTGCCATCCAGAAGAATTCTGGCTGGAAGCGGCAAGTGGATCTTGCAATTTTACAGCTTTTTGGCGATGGTAAGTAATTTGGATAATGAAGAAAAAAGGTATTTTTACTAAGAGGGAGTAATATTATTTCATTAAATCCTCCAGTGTTTTAACCTAATAGAGAATACTCTTTCAAAGACTCTGGCCCGATGCATCATACTGAATGTTTAGTTTTATAGCCATTTATTTATTTGAGAGATTTACAGTTCAACATTTCAGTGGCAATTACCAAAGTGGCTTGTAGTCATAAACATCATTAGGAGGAGTTTTAGTAATCTCAAAGACACAAAAGCTATACTTTCTAAGTTTGTATGCCAATGTCACCCAAAGAAATTAGGAGGTAGGATGAAATAAAATAAATAAATATATTTTGTAACTATGAATACAGAATTAAGATATTAAAAGGCAAACATGCTATTTATGTCAAAGACAGTCAAATCATTTTGACATATTTGACAGGAACTCCAACAAGTATTCCCAGCCTTGGCAGTACATAAATATCCATCATGTAATTCCTTTTTGGGTGAACAATGATATGCAAAGCACAGAAAAGATGTAAGAAGCAGTAAGCATAGAACAGCATCAGCAAGCTTGAAGTAATGCTGGATTTTGATTGTACTGATGGAACACCAACAAAATGTGTCTATGGAGATTCTCACTCATGTGCATTTTAATAATAATAATAGAGTTGGAAGGGACCTTGGAGGTCTTCTAGTCCAACCCCCTGCTCAGGCAGGAAACCCTATACCATTTCAGACAAATGGTTGTCCAGTCTCTTCTTAAAAACTTCCAGTGTTGGAGCATTCACAAGTTCTGGAGGCACGTTGTTCCACTGATTAATTGTTTTAACTGTCAGGAAATTTCTTTTTAGTTCTAGGTTGCTTCTCTCTTTGATTAGTTTCCATCCGTTGTTTCAGGTGCTTTGGAGAATAGCTCGACTCCCTCTTCTTTGTGGCAACCCCTGAGATATTGGAACACTGCTATGATGTCACCCCTCATCCTTCTCTTCATTAAACTAGACATACCCAATTCCAGCAACTGTTCCTTATATGTTTTAGTCTACAGTCCCCTAATAATCTTTGTTGCTTTTCTCTGTACACTTTCTAGAATCTCAACATCTTTTTTACATTGTGGTGACCAAAACTGGATGCAGTATTCCAAGTGTTGCCTTACCAGGATGTTAAATAAAGTGGTATTAACACTTCACGTGATCTTGATTCTATCCCTCTGTTAATGCAGCTTAACATTGTGTTAGCTTTTTTGGCAACTGCAGCACACTGCTGGCTCATATTTAAGTGATTGTCCACTAGGACTCCGAGATCCCTCTCACAGTTACTACTATTGAACAAGGTACCACCTATACTGTACCTGTGCATTTGGTTTTTCTTGCCTAAATGTAGAACCTCACTTTTGTCACCACTGAATTTCATTTTGTTAGATAGTGCCCAATGTTCAAGTCTATCAAGATCCTTCTGTACCTTAAGCCTGTCTTCTGGAGTGTTGGCTATTCCTGCCACCTTGGTATCATCTGCAAATTTGATGAGTTCTCCATCTATCTCCTCATCTAAATCATTGATGAAGATGTTGAAGAGCACTGGGCCCAGAACAGAGCCCTGTGGCACCCCATTACATGCTTCCTTCCATGTAGATGCAGTTCGGTTGGTCAGCCAGCTATGAATCCATCTGGTGGTGATGCTGTCTAATTCACATTTTGCTATCTTATCAAGTAGTTGGTTGTGGTCTACTTTATCAAATGCCTTACTGAAATCCAAGTAAATTATATCTACAGCATTCCCCTGGTCCACTAATTTTGTCACTTGGTCAAAGAATGCAATAAGATTTGTCTGGCATGATCTGTTTTTGACAAACCCATGTTGGCTTTTAGTAATGACTTTGTTTGCCTCTAGGTGTTCGCTGATTCATTGCTTGATTATCTTTTCCGGAATCTTCCCAGGTATCGAGGTCAGGCTGATAGGCCTGTAGTTTCCTGGATCTATTTTTTCCCTTTTTTGAAGATGGGAACTACATCAGCTCTCTTCCAGTCCTCTGGTAGTTCCCCAGTGCTCCAGGAGCTTTGAAAAATATAGTTCAGTGGTTCTGAGATTACATCTGCCAGTTCTTTCAGAACCTTGGGGTGTAATCCATCTGGTCCTAGTGATTTGAACTTGTCTAGGATGGACAGGTGCTCACTTACCATTTTCTTGCCTATCTTAACTTGTGTTTCTAATCTGTTTTCTATGGTACTATTTTTGATAGGTTGGACTGTTTTTTTTCTTTTGTGTAAAGACGGATGCAAAAAACAAGTTAAGTAGTTCTGCTTTCTCCCTGTTGCTTGTCATCTTTTTGTCACTTTCTTCCACCTATGGACCAATCATTTCCTTAAATTTTTTCTTGTTTTTTACATGTTGAAAGAAGCTTTTTTTGTTGTTATTTTTGACTTTTGTTGCAAGCCTTAGTTCATTTTGAGCCTTAGCTTTCCTCAGCTTTGCAGGCTCGGGCTATTTGCTGATATTCTATCTTAGTTATGTGTCCCTCTATCCACTTTTTATACTTGTCCTTTTTGTCTTTCAATTTATCAGAGAGTTCTTTATGCAGCCATGCTGGTTTCTTTTGAGAGCTGTTATTTTTCTTCTTTGTTGGTATTGTGCTAGACTGAGCTTTTATAATCTCATTTTTAAAAATTTCCCAAGCTTTTTGGGTTGTTTTCCCCTTGAGGATTCTCATCCATGGAATCCTTCCCAAATCCTGTCTAAGTTTATTGAAATTAGCTCTCTTAAAGTCCAAGACTCTAGTTTGACTATATTCTATTGCTTGTGCCTGCACAATGTTAAATTGCAATAATGCATGATCACTCCCCCCCCCAGATTCCTGGGGCTTCAACACCTATCATTTCATCTCTGTTAGTGAGAATTAAGTAAGTCCAATATGGCTGATCCCCTAGTTCCCTTCTCTACTTTTTGGGAGACAAAGTTGTCTGCTAGGTTTGTTAGGAATCTGTTTGATCTTCCACTTGGTGCAGAGTTTGTCTCCCAGTTGATGTCAGGGTAATTAAAGTCCCCCATTACTATTGTGATGTGCTTCCTACATACCTTAGTTAACTGACTTTTTCATGAGGCAACTGGAGTTTGTTGTTGTTGATTGAAGACATTTTGCTTCTCATCCAAGAAGCTTCTTCAGCTCTGACTGGATGGTGGGGAATGGGAGGATTTATATTCCTTGCAGACAGCAAGAAATATAAATCCTTCCATTCTCCCCCAGTCAGAGCTTATAATCAGAAGGACTACAATACGTTGCATGTGGTGTAGATATAAATAAAATTAGTCAGCTATTAAAGTTCACAATTTCTGCCACATCTTCTATCTTCCCAATTGCCAATTAGTCCCAATACATTTTAAAACAAATCCTCAGTTCCTCCAGTTTTTCCTCTCAATCGGCAGTTTGAAAATGTTTTCAGTCTGGCATTATCCAGGTACTTGGGGTTTGGAACTTGATGAATAAGAATCTTCAGTCAAACTTTGCTTAACCAGAATTGGCCAATAACTAAATACAGGCTGCTTATCAAAGAGCCCTTTCCCTGCTTCAAACCTGCCAAGTATATATACGAGTATATTACCACAGGGCTTTGTGTACTGTATGAGTTAAATTAGTTTGCAGCTGTCCCCATCCCCTATCCCATCCTTCAGCCTTTGTATCTGGCAACATATATTTGTGTGCATGTGTCTTTGTTTGTAAAATATTTTCCTGAAAGGCTTCTATAGAGGCAGTTGCAAGGGAGAGTTGATTTCTTAATGTATAAGGAAGTGCAATGAGAAATTTAAGTGTAAATCTCTTGATAGTACCACATCAAATTTATAGGTACACTGTGCTTTCCCAGCAAATCCTGAGTGTTATAAAGTAGCATGCTAGCAAAACTGCATTTGAAGGTTTTTTTTCCTGAGCTGGGTCAGATGAAATTGAGCTGGGAAACATAGGCCATAGCATGCAGTAACTCCAACAGAAACACCAGTGCTTTTAAATACTTGATGCATTTCACTGGAATGAGAGATTCACCTGTCTCTGAAGCAGGTGAGGAAAAGAAATTTTGTCTTTGACATAGGATAAGGAATACATTTCTAAGTGTTTAGTATGCATCGTCGCTGCTTTGAATCAATGTCATCCAAATAACAAAGGTGTGTTAGAAGGAGTGGGGAAAACATGGGGTGGGGAATAGAACTGATTGTTAAATCTCTAGTTGTCTGGTTTACACCTAGAGTTGTCCATGAGGATTATATGTATCTAAAATAAATATACTTAGATAACCTGGTGGAACCCAATTGTAATTAACTTTTTATTCAATTTGTATAGAAAATGATTACTTTATAAACATTATTTGTTTCACTTTAGATTATATAAATGATCAATTTTAACAGGGCTTATTATTTATAATATAATGCATATAACACACTATTTACAGTTATACCGTTGAATATGGTTGAACATAGGGCCTTGATACATTGTGCAGATATATTTCCAACTTGGAAAGTAGTGGTGTCACATGGGCATATGTGGTATGCCCAAAGTTGCCTGGACCATTGCATTTTATACCAACTGAAGCTTCTGAATACCCAAAGGTCAAATAATTTGGGTATAAGAAACAAGATGAGGGAGGACCAGTTACTTGGAGATGACAATTTGTCCATAGAAAATGCTACTGATATAAGCCAAAAAGCAGAAGTTAATAATTACTCCTGTAGCAACCATAGTCCATTATTCACCATCATCTATAATAAAGATTTATGGAAAGATACCAGCAGATCCAGTCAGAAATATAGTTTGGGCTCTAGCAAAGGAACCAGAAAGCAAAAAAACTCAAAACAAGACAAACTGTAGGCAATAATAAAGCGGGAAGGAAGTATACCTGTAAATAGTGTCCCAAAAATGGCCAAAATGTCATAAAAATAGAAAATATAATTATATGGCTAAAATGTGCAAAAGTACAAAAAAATTAAAAAATAGCATGAATCTAAAGAAGATGATTTCTTCATAGGCTTAATCAATAACAATAAATCAGCTATATAACTATTACTGTTGCAGACGTCAGTCTAGCAGTTGATCATGACTACAAAAAAAAAAGACTTATATCCAATAACCATATCTACAATCATATAAGAATCCAGTAGACACAATGAGTGGTTTGAATTCATTTTGAAATGAAAAAAATATAATGTATTGTGTAAAAACAGTATTATTAAATCCATGAAGCACCATAATGGTCCTAAAAATATCTAGCAATTTACAAGTAGTTAACTGTCTCACTATAATCAATATAATGTAGAATTATTACAGAAAAAATCCTCCATGGATAATGAAGATACATTTTAGGAACTGAACTGAGCTTAAAGTTGCATTTTATGTTATACAATTTTATAGTATTGTAACACTTCCAAGAATTCATCACATTACTCTTACATACACATACAATGCGCAATATATAAGCAGTATTGAAAACAAAACCAAAAGCAGAACTGAAGCAAAAATAATTATTTGCCATAATGAAGAATAAACTTCAAAATAAGTGCGCTTATTAAATGATTATTGTTTTTAAGAAACATGGATTTTGAGAATTTGCCTGGACTCAAAAGAATTAAACTAGTACATTCAAAGAAAATAAACTGAGAGCCAGTTTGGTGTAGTGGTTAAGATTTCAGGATAGAAACTAGGAGACTTCTAGTACTGTCTTAATTACAAAACCATCTGGGTGACTTTGAAGTAGTCACCTTTTCTCAGCCCTAGGAAGGAGACAATGGCAAACCACTTATGAAAAACCTTGTCAAGAATCTCCAAGAGTCAGACTTGATTGAAACAAACAAACAAACAAATAAAAACAAAGAGAGCATTGTGACATTCTGATAGAAGAAATAGGGGTAGAAAGATATTTTCTAAATTGAATAAATAATCTCAGTTTTTATACATACCCAGATACATAAGTGAATGTAAATGTAATATATATACAGTCAATACGTCTTAAATGCATCTCCTTTGGGTTAAATTCTGCTCTTGAAATCCTCTATCATACCTTACAAAATTGATGATAGGTATTTAAGCAACAGTGCTATACACGAATTACATTCTTGTATGGATCACCATAGAAGAACACAAGTACCAGTTAAAACTGGTACTAGGAAAAGTCAGGTCCTTAAATATGAAATGTATTTATTTATTAAATTTCTATGCCACCCATCCCACTAATACAGCGACTTTGGGTGGCCTACAATATCATAAAAGTTAACAAGTGCTAAAACAATTAAAATTAGAATAAAAAATTAGAAGTTAAGAACCAAGATAATGGGCAGCTTAGGGGTGAGCATCTTCTTTACCCTGTCAGCTACCCCTAACATAGTTGGGGCCCCAGGTCAAGTGGCAGAGCCAGGTTTTTAGGCTCTTCTGAAAGTCCAGGAGTGTAGGGGTGGATCTCACCTCTGATGGGAGAAAATTCCAGAAGATGGAGACCACAGTAGAAAATGCTCTTGTCCTGGACCTGACCAGCCAAAGTCACCATTCTGGAGGCTCTTATCAACCAGGAGGGCAAGGATCTAATAAACAAGTAGTTGCACTAACAGCCCCGAGGACCCTGTATACTTCCTCAAGTCCAGCAGGGTCAAACTGCTACCAGATAACTGGCTAAGCATGCGTCTTGGACACCTTCAATGGACCTGCTCCACAGCTGGAATCTAACTGAGAATAAATTCAAGCAATTTTATCCATCAAATTCCTCTGCATGGCCCTATAAATGTTTGTTCAAGCCCTCCTTCCTGAGGAGGGACCAGGTGACATTAAACAGGACCAACATGCAGCACTCGGCAGATGCAATAAATGCAAAGAAATAGTGATGTTTCACCACTTTTACTGCAATGAGGTAGGCCTTAATTAGCAACTCTAATCTGTGGTCAGTAAGATTCATTCTTTGTCTCCCTTCAGCAGCACTCTACCTATTTCTTGGCTCTTTTCAACACCCTCAACTGCTCCATGAATCATGAGGAGTGTTGGAGGGTGATGGGTCAAGAAGGTGATGGGCATTATCCTATCCAGGGTTCCAGCTACCTTCTGATTCCAGGCTGCAGCCAGAGCCTCCACAAGACCATCAGTCACTCGGGGCAGACCATTTGAATAGGCTGGAGGGGGGGCAGCGTTGGAAAAATCTCAAGGACATTGAAAATTGAACAAAAGCAAATCTTGAAGAAATACAGTATTTGAGAGATGTACTAACAAACAACTAAACCAGATCTTTTTCCCAAAAAAAAGGGAAAAGCAGTTGCAGATGTATCAAAACTGACATGCCAAAACGAAGTTCAGAGGATCATGAGAATGGTAAATTATGTCTCAAGATATATTCCCAATGTAGTTATCCACACCATAAATTTGAGGTCATTACTTTGCAAAGATGCCATCTGGCACTGGACTGATAAGGAATTAAAGTATATAAAGAATACCTGCACCTATTATACAGTTTTATAATCCTTTTTTAAAAAGCAAAACAGGTGCAATTATATAAGCTACTATTAAAGAAGCTGAAGAGACTAACAGAACAGAACAGAACAGAATAGAATATATAGCTGGAAGGGACCTTGGAGGTCTTCTAATCCAGCCCCCTGCTCAAGCAGGAGAACCTATACCATCTCAGACAGATGAATGTCCATTCTCCTCTTTAAAATCTCCAGTGATGGAGCACCCACGATCTCTGGGGGTAAGCTGTTCCACTGGTTAATTGTCCTCACTGTCAGGAAGTTTCTTCTTAATTCCTGGTTGCTTCTCTCTTTGATTAGTTTCCAACCATTGTTTCTCGTCCTTCCCTCTGGTGCTCTGGTCAATAACCTGGCCCCCTCTGCCTTGTGGCAGCCCCTCAAATACTGGAACACTGCTATCATGACTCCCCTATTTTTTCTTTTCTTTAGACTAGCCAAACCCAAGTCCCGTATCCGTTCTTCATATGTTGTGGTCTCCAGGCGTTTGATCATCTTAGTAGCTCTTCTCTGATTTTTTTTCCAAACTCTCAACATCTTTTTTGTGATATGGTGACCAAAATTGGCTGCAGTATTCCAGGTGTGGTCTTACTAGGGTTTTATAAAGCGGTACTAATACCTCGCGTGATCTTGATTCTATGCCTGATATGCAATACTGAACAGTATTGAATGTTGCATGACCAAGTTCTTTTATTTAGAAGGAGGGGGAATATGAGGAAGGTTGTTATTTATTATCTTAAACCTACCCATATAATAGATAATAATAATAATAATAATAATAATAATAATAATAATAATAATAATAATAATAATAATAATAATAATGTTCCTTGAGATGGGTTTTTTTGTCCTGAGTAAGAGCTGAGTCCAAGCTGATTTAAAAATATATATAGTTCACGCCTTCTGCCATTGTCCCTTTACAAATGAGCACAAGTGCCAGTCTTATCCAGCAGGTTGCAGATTCACCTATGACCTCACAGACATGAATCTTTGATCACCTTTAGCCATGTGTTCACAAATAATAGCAATAGCACTTAGACTTATATACCGTTTCACAGTGCTTTACAGCCCTCTCTAAGCAATTTACAGAGTCAGCATATTGCCCCCAACAATCTGAGTCCTCATTTTACCGACCTTGGAAGGATGGAAGGCTGAGTCAACCTTGAGCCGGTGAGACTCGAATTTCCAAACTGTAGGCAGCCGGCAGTCAGCAGAAGTAGCCTGCAGTATTTGGCAAGTCACCCTAAGCCTCCTCAGTTCATGGGAAACTGGGAATAATCTCAGAAAAGAAACTTTGTGAGTCACAGGGATGAAGACTGCAAAGCATATTTGTCATTGAAAATGCTTTAAAATACCAAATAAAATCAGTTAAAAATAGAAGTCTCTATTATTCTGATTATCACCCACACTCTCTCAAACACACATGCACACACACACACACACACACACACACACACACACAAATGGATTTCATGTTTCATTTTTTTCCAACTCTTTTGTAGGGGAGATGGAGGAACTAGAAGCTCTCTGGCTCACTGGGATTTGTCACAATGAGAAGAATGAGGTGATGAGTAGTCAGCTGGATATTGACAACATGGCAGGAGTCTTCTATATGTTGGGAGCAGCCATGGCCCTCAGCCTCATCACCTTCATCTGTGAACATCTCTTTTATTGGCAATTTCGCCATTGCTTCATGGGGGTCTGTTCTGGCAAGCCTGGTGTTGTCTTCTCCATTAGCAGGGTGAGTGTATTTAATCTAATACAAGGATTACAATACAGTGGTGTACTTAGCCCAATATAAAACCGAGGGTTACATTTGACTATTGAACATGCATTTGAAATTGGATAGAGCTAGATCAAAGAATTTGATCTAGAAAGGAAGTATTTTTTAAGAAAACCAATTGCCTCTACAATTACTCCTTGTGAATTTAAGAGCATCCTTCTTTTGTCACATTCAAAATCATGGTTTGATAACTTATGAATGGCCAATGGGGAGGCTGCATGTGGTCCTTGGCCAGAGGTTGCACATCCCTTGCCTAAAAAAGAGAGATATCTTGAATCCATTATGCTTCTGAGTATAGCTGAAGGGATTCTTCTCCTCTTTAGCAGAACCTTTCATTCCTGCAAAGGTAATAATCAGGAAAATTAAATACAAATCACCTTACTTTTTAAAAAAATTAATAGCATTTTTTCTCTCAAGGATAATGAAAATGTAATGTAATGGAAAAGTGGTTGACTACTATGAGATACAAAATGCTGGACTAGATATACCATTGCCTTAATCCTACATAGCTCTTCTAATGTTCATTAAAATTAAATATTCTTGCAAATGCTTTCATATTAAAATTAGTTGAAACTTCATCAATAATTTTGAAATAATATTTTAACCCTAAACTATTAAGTTGTAAATTCATTCAGCTTTAAAGTATATCTTGGTAGCCAAGGCTTTGATTATAAAATTGTTAAGCTAATTCAAAATACTTTAAAAATCATATTATGTAACCAGAAAAGTCAAATTTAGATACTGAACAAAAGAAGGCAATGAATTTTGCTTGAGAAAGATATGTTATACACAGTGTGTATGTTCTGTTTTCTTTATCACAATTGCTGGGGAAGGACTAGAGCAAGTATGACTTTGTAGGTCACAAGCTGTGATCTAAATGAATAACAAAGACTGGGCTGTGCAGTGGGAGAGGAGACTGTGCCAAGTGAACTAATACATTGTACTTGGCTTGACAGTTTCTAATTCCTGAGTGAACAAATCTCAGGACAGTGCCCAAGAACATCTACAAAGTGTAAGGTTGGCCTCATTTAGGATATTATAAGTAAGAAGGAGCACCTTGAATCAGAATTAGAAGCTAATGCTAGTCAAAACCATAGATCAATTACTAGTCCCATCATCTAATAAATTTATGAGACAATGGAATTAAAAGTATCTTGAGCTTCAGAGTAATCTTTTAGTGCATTTTAGTAGTAATATTTTGGGAGAGTTTATTTATTTATTTATTTATTGTTCGAATTTATATCCCGCCCTTCTCCTTGCGGACTCAGATAATAGGAGGCAGTGACCTAGTAGGCTTCATAATTCAGAAAAAAATGAAATATATCACAGGTAAATTAAGAACAACATTCCTGGCAAGAATAACAACATAGATATTGGAAATAAGCATATGGTTTAAGATAAGTTTTGAGCAGAATGTTTTAAACAAACAGATTAGTTAATGTGACAAAAAAAATGGTCAGACTCACTGAAATGTAACTTTCACCCAATGTCAGTCTTTCCTGCTTGGGGAAGATAGTTGGAAGGGTGACAGATTCAGCTCTACAAAATCATGGAAGAAACAGATTATCTAGATCTTGTTGAATCAAAATTCATGGCTGATGATGAGACCAAATAGCAATGTTCATTCTAGTCGACAGTCTTGGTTGAGAAATGAATTGGGGTACTAATATCTTCTAGTTCTCGTGGATCTCTCAACAGAATTAAATACTCTCAACCATGGTATTTTTCAGGGTATCTGCAAGGATTTGAAGTTGAAGGCACCTTTTACAAAGATTTTACTCCTACTCAAGTGGGCAGTTCTGGTTCATAGTCACAGGTGAAGAGTGGTCAAGTTGGTTGCTTGGGTGCTCTCGTATGGTATGAGAGCATTTGAGCTCAGTTTCCTCTCCCACATTATTTAACATCTATGTGAAATTTTTGAGAGAAGTAATCTAATAGTGGTATCCAATCCAAAATAAATTTATTAAGGTCTTAAACTGATGCCTGAAAGCTGTAACAAACTGGATAAGATGAAACAAACTCAAATTAATTCCTGCCAAATAGAATTACTGCTGGTCAATTGACATTATGGCTATCCAATAATATCAGCCCTTGATAGGGTTGCACTACCCTGGAGATAATCTGTGATTTGGTTCCTGCTATAGCAGCAGCTAGAAGTTGTGTCCAGGGGAATCTTTGGCTGGTATGCCAAGTATGTATGTATGTATCTATGTATGTGTTTATCAAATTAATATAGCAGTCTATCTCACAAAACATACTCTGGACAGCATACAATCATCATCACAATAACAAAAATAAAACACACAAGCCTGAATAAAAAATAAAGCGCTATATTGATGGAAAAAAATAGTCACTTGACAACAGACAAGTGACTGTTGCAAGCTCACCATGGGATCCCCAAGGCTTATGGAAGAACCACATTTTAATGGTGTTCCAGAGGGCTAACAGGGATGGGGCTAAACTCACCTCAGGGGGAATGATGTTCAGCAGGCGGGGGCCACAACAGAAAAGACACCCTGAATTGTACCCTGAAGCAAACTGGTAGCCAATGCAGCTCACGGACATAGGTGTAATGTGTACCACCCTAGGGACATACATAATATCTGCATAGCTGCACTCTGCACCAACTGAAGTTTTCAGATGCTCTTCAAAGATAGACCAATGTAGAGAGCTTTATAATCCATCCTGGATGTGACTAAAGCATGAGTAACTGAGTTGTAAAGTTTTATAGTCCAGGAAGGGGCACAAATGGCACACATTGTGAAGCTGTTCAAAGGCTATCTTATGCATGCTGCTACCTTCCAAAAACAGTAAAGTTCCAGCTCCAGAAGGCTTCAAAACTCCATGCCATTTAATCTTCAGGGTTCAGCTGAAGCCTGTTGTTATCCATCCAGATCCCCACAGTCTCCAAATACCAGGACATCAACATCATTGCTTCGCTAGAGAGAAGTAGAGATATATAACTATAAATCATCAGCATACTGATGTATGGCCTTTCCTTGCTTAAGAAGGCTTGATGACAATGTCTAAAACTTTGATCATTTCACAACTTGTCTACTGCAATGCCCTGAAATTGAGGCTACCTTTGAAACTAACTTGTAAGCTATTGTACATCTGGGGCAAATACCGCATTTGATTAGTCTTATCCTAAGATCAATTGATGTTTGGATTCAATAAGTTATTAAGTCTTATACAGTATGCTGTGGTACAGGGATACACCAGAGACACCTTTTCAAGTTTGATTGTGCCCATCCAGTCCAAATATTGGGAGAGGGCTGCTAAGTCACCCATTTCATGTGAATAACACAGGTGTAGGATCGTCTCTTGGGTGATCCCCTCTTCATACAATATACTGTCCCTATCTCTCAGTTTGGCACAGCACTTCCTACATTTTCAAAGGTCTTTAAAAACCATTTTACTTCAATGAGATTTTAGTTTATAGAATGACCCTGGTTGGCTTTCTGATTTTTATATTGATTAAGTATTGGTGTTTTTCTTGTCATTTGTTCTTTTACTCCTGTGTTTATTGTTGTACATTAACCAGAATAATTTTGATTGATGCTCTTCAGCAAACATTGTAAATAAAGAAATAGATCCCCAAATACAAAGGAACTAAAAGCACAATTAGGGGTAAAAAGTGAAAGAATGGTTGCAGTAGTGGTAAAAGAATTAATGATCTGAATCAATGTATGCAAATGCAAGTTGTCCTTTTTTCTGAAAGCAGAATGAGAACAACTCCAAAGGAAGTATGTTGCCCAGTTGAAAGTGATACAGCAAGAAACCTTGAAAGATAAAAACTTATTTACCCAAAAACATTTTCTCAACTTCCATCTCTGTAGGTCTCTGCTAAGCTTCTCTGTTAACCTTTTTTTTCCTTTTTCCCTTTACAGGGTATTTACAGCTGCATCCATGGAGTGGCTATTGAAGACCATCATTCTTCTATGAATTCTCCCACTGCCACCATGAATAATACCCATTCTAATATTTTGCGTCTGCTCCGAACAGCAAAGAACATGGCTAACCTTTCAGGTGTCAATGGATCACCACAAAGTGCCCTGGATTTCATCCGCCGTGAATCATCAGTTTATGATATCTCTGAACACCGCCGCAGCTTTACCCACTCTGATTGCAAGTCTTATAATAACCCCCCTTGTGAGGAGAATCTTTTCAGTGATTATATTAGTGAGGTAGAAAGGACTTTCGGCAATCTACAACTGAAAGAAAGTAATGTTTATCAAGACCATTATCATCATCATCATCGCCCCCATAGCATTGGTAGTGCCAGTTCTATTGATGGACTATATGACTGTGATAATCCACCTTTCTCTACCCAGTCTCGATCCCTCAGTAAAAAGCCACTAGACATTGGTTTACCACCAGCCAAGCATGGCCAGTTAGGTGACCTTTATGGCAAGCTGTCATTCAAGAGTGATCGATATAGTGGAGGAGGGGCACATGATGATTTAATCCGTTCAGATGTTTCAGACATATCCACTCATACAGTAACATATGGTAACATTGAAGGTAATGCTGCAAAGCGGAGAAAACAGCAATATAAAGATAGTTTAAAGAAACGCCCAGCCTCAGCTAAATCACGAAGAGAGTTTGATGAGATTGAACTGGCCTATCGACGGCGTCCCCGTTCCCCTGATCACAAGCGCTACTTTAGAGACAAGGAAGGGCTAAGGGATTTCTATTTGGACCAATTCCGGGCTAAGGAAAACTCACCACATTGGGAACATGTAGATCTGACAGATATCTATAAAGAACGGGGAGATGACTTTAAGCGTGACACTCTAGGGGGAACAGGGACATGTACAAATAGGACCCATCACAAACATGGGTCAGGGGAATTTGGAGTAAACAATGAGCACAAGCACAGTGTTGTGAGTGGGGTACCAGTGCCATGGGAAAAAAACCTTACCAATCTTGATTGGGAGGAACGGCCAGGGTCTAATTATTGCCGCAGTTGCCCATCTAAGCTGCATAACTACACCCCAGCTGTGGTGGGACAGAACTCCACCCGTCAGCCATGCATCCGGTGTGAAGCTTGCAAGAAGGCAGGCAACCTCTATGATATCAGTGAGGACAACTCCCTTCAAGAGCTGGATCAGCCATCTGCTCCTGTGCCAGTGGCAACCAGCACCTCCACCACCAAGTACCCTCAGAGCCCTTCCAACTCTGCCTCCAAGGTGCAGAAAAAGAATCGCAACAAGCTCCGCCGGCAGCACTCCTATGACACATTTGTGGATCTGCAGAAGGAAGAAGCAGCCTTGGCCCCACGCAGTGTGAGCTTAAAGGACAAAGGCCGCTTTTTGGAGGGAAGCCCTTATGCTCATATGTTTGAAATGCCAGCAAGCGAGTCCACTTTTGCCAACAACAAGTCCTCACTGCCTGCTACCAGCCACCACCACCACAACAATCCTGGCATTAGTGGTGGTTATATGCTAAGCAAGTCTCTCTACCCCGATCGGGTCACTCAAAACCCTTTCATCCCCACTTTTGGGGATGACCAGTGCTTGCTCCATGGCAGCAAATCCTATTTCTTCAGGCAGCCTGTGGTGGCAGGAGGGCCCAAGGCCAGGCCAGACTTCCGAGCCATTGTCACCACCAACAAGCCAGTGGTCTCAGCTCTTCATGGAGCTGTGCCAGCCCGTTTCCAGAAGGACATCTGTATAGGGAACCAGTCCAACCCCTGTGTGCCTAACAACAAAAACCCCAGGGCTTTCAATGGCTCTAGCAATGGGCATGTTTATGAGAAACTTTCTAGTATTGAATCTGATGTCTGAGTGATGGGGAAAAAAGCATGGGAGGGGATGGTGCAGGAAATGCAAAGCATGGGAGGGGCAAGTGGTGGGTTTAGTCCTAGCTCCCATTTGCTACTCTTCTGCTACTGTTTCTTTCCTTTTTTTAAAAAAAATGTGGAATATTGGAGTTCTGCTTAGGCAGATCTGATGAGAAGTGCCACTTCTTTCTTTCCCCACACCTGAACTCCTAATTATCTCTTTTCATTTCCCTACTCACATTTCCATTCCTGACCATCACATGTCAGAGCTTACTAGCTTAGCTTGTGTTTTCACAGTTGGAAAGACAGGGCATGGATCAGGTGAGGTCAGCACATGGGTAGGGGCAATACCCCAATACAGAATTGGGGTTTTCTTAGCAACAAACAGGGATGGTTAGTATTGATATGAAAATACCACGTAAGGTAAAGAGCAGAGGAAAGAATGGTGTTTCAAAGATTAGTTCTTTTTATATCTGTACTTTTAAAAAAATGTGAGATACAACTAATGTGGAATTTATTTAATGAAATACATTCAGTTCTTTTATAAAGACTTTAGGGGAAGGGTAAAAATTGAAATTGCATAGATACTTACATCCTGGAATACAATATATCTTATGGAAAAAGGAGGTGTGGAGATCTGCTTGGAAGTTCAGTTACGGCAGTCCATCAAGGCGATTTCTGAAGGATAGGCTGAAATTACAGAAGCTAAGACAAGTGAGAACAGGAAACTATTACCAAGAGTCTTGAGAAAATTAAAAGGTGGGCTCGTGGGGCGGGGAATCTGTCTGATTTTTCTCTACTCATGAAAACTCATTGTTAATTTTGAAACCATAAACCTTTGGATGTGGATTGATTTGTGCACAGCTCCCTTAAATAATAATTTACATCAAATACAGACAACAAAAATAAAACTAATGTAACATCACTGAAGTATTTTTCTTACACACCCCAGCAGAACAAGCCTCTGCAGTGTGGATGAATAAAAAGTCTTAATGATTAGAAAAGAAGGCTGGCAGCTCCATGAACTCCACTATTCTTTTGATGAATTAAATGTGGAAGGGAGATTTCTCAACTGCCATGTCCTTGTTTCTCTTGCGAAAGGAGATTTTGAGAGACTATAGCAAAAGGCTTCCTCTGCTGTTGGAGTTGAATAGAAAGTGCAGGAGGTGGTGCTGCTGGTGGGTAGAATAGGACCAGCACAACTCATACCATGTGTATATGTATATTTATTGAATATATACTTATATTTGATAACTATAGTGTTGTGGAACTATGGCTTGTCTTCCACAGGGCATGAGGAGATGAAATACCAGTTCCCACAGTTGCTGTGGTGGGGATCAGAAAGCAGAGGTAGGAAGAAGCAAGAAAGTTAGAGGAGGCCAGGAGATGCTAAACAGGAAAACTAGTATTATTTAGCAGCATTAGAGTTGTTCTGGACCTCTTCTCAGTGTAATGCAGTATTGCTTGCAGCAGTTTTTTTTCTCTCAAGGAGGAATAATTGGAAATCTGAGTAAAACTACTTATAGTCAAAGTGAGATTGTTTCATTTACATCAGGAATCCTCAGGTAAGAGCAACAGGCTAACTGTTGTTTCCCAAATATGTGGCAAAACATCTCACTTTTTCCTGGGTCTGTTGATCTGCTTTCCTAACAAGATAGGAGGCAGAAATGTCTCTTCTGAAAGAGCTGGCAGATTGCAATTGAACTGAATAAATGGAGAGACACAAGCTCTGAACTCTGGAAGCAGCTTTTTTTTTTTTTTGAGCCACATTTTTTTGGCAACTGATTCTCCTTTCATGTCCTTTCACCCATACCCCACTGGGCTTTATATTTTCAATGTCTTTGCTGCATTGAAGCCATTGGAAGGCATTGTCTTTTGGTAGAGAGGGTAAATATGGGCTTGAACTTTATTAGGTAATGGATGGAGTGATGTCTGGAAGAGCAGAATGCCTTTTACTTTGTTTCCCTTGTCCCTCTTAGAAAAGGTACTTTTTAGTAGTCTGCAGCACACAAAGTAACTGATGAATCCTTTAACAAAGGGCACTTGGGAAGCCATTCATCTCATTTGTAAATTGAGATTTTTTTTTCTATTGCATTTTGTATAAAACTAGTGCTTCTCTTCTTGTGAATATTCAGGTTTTGAGAGGATATGGGGTTTTAGTTGTTGCATTTTCTCCAACAGTTTTCAGTCTGTGTATCTGGAAGTAGCTTTATGTTGGCCCATACAATTACAAATGGGAAATAATAAGAGAAAACTGCATGTATTGAATACCTCTTTCTAAATCACAGTTGTCATATTTTTTCCTCATGTTTAGAAAATGGCAATGGGTCATCTTAAACTTCACTAGCAAGGCTTTCATATTCCTTGCTTGATTATAAACTCATAATCTTTCTCTGGAATCTGGGCTCTGAAGCATTGTGCTGTTTTCCTTCAGATGGAGTAAATTCATTTTGTTTGTTCAGTTTAAATCGCACCCAAATTACAGGAACTTCTCCAAAGTTATATTGGCTTGGAAAGTTTGGGACTGGAAAATCTCTCAATTAACACTTAGTACTTAAAATTTATTAAACAGCTGGGTTTAATTCTAGTGATGAGCCTGCCTCTGGCTAGCTCCCTTTCTCAGCTGAAATAAAAAATATTAGTATTGTAGTGCTTCAGAAAAAAAGTTCACTAAAAGCAAACCAAAAAAGATATTAACTGAACTCTCAGAATGATTCTAGATGTATATTTGGGGTATAGGTTTATTCTGGTTTTAATTTTCTTGCACTCTAGCTTAGTTTGAATATTGAATTCACATGTTTACACTATAGCTAAGATTTGATAATATTAAATTATCAATGTTAATTTGTGCGCACAGAGCATGAAACATGTCTGCTTAAAGATGAGCAGAAATGTTGGGGAACTTTCAATAACAGTTCATATGCAGGCATTGTGTTTACAGCTTTAGTATAAGAAATTAGCCTCTTGATCTTTCCATCTACCTTGAAAATTTTATTTTTCTTTCTATTGAAATTTGACCAAGAAGAAGAAGGTTGGTTCAACCACATACATAGGTTATGTTTTAAATATTATTATGATTTTATAATTTAAAGTTCTGGATATTATCCCACTAAAAATATCACATGTGGATCTGATGGGAAATTTTAGCTGCAGGTGCTGTTTATGGAGACAGTGATGTTGGTTGTTTAACTTGCCAAAAAAAACATGAAATGTAGTATAATACACAAACAAAATTGTATGTTCATCATTTAAGAAAGTCAGTTTCCTCCTCCTGCTTAGAAAAATGGGATATGCTCTTCAGTTTTCTCATTGCATAAACTTGATTCATTGTCTTCTGCTTGAGTGAGTGGTTCTGTACCTGAACATACATAACTGACATTTTTGCTATTCAGATGCTTTAGGATAATGTATTGAAATACTTTCTTAATACTAATTCTAGAGCCATTGCAGTACATATGTTGTAAATGTGTAAGGGGATAAGGGATGTGATGTTTTTCTTTTTTAAAAAATGGCAGATTTTCCAAGCTGTTTAACTGAGTATGGCATGCTGCCAGACCACTTATTCTGGCATTCTATAACAGATGTGATATAATGTCTGCCAATGTAGCAATACACCATCTTATGTTATATCTTGCCATAATGTGTGGTGCTTCAGGAATATGGTGAGTGGGATATTTTGTATGTCACCAAAAACATCAGAGAAAATGTGTTGCCTTGTTTCAATGCTAATCTACTGGTTTTAAAACTTTTCCTGAAATTGCCTTGTATAGGTAAATCTGTATTCTTGTAATTGCAAAAATCCAACATAATTTCAATTTGGACTTAAATGTTTTGGCAGGTTTTTTTTAAACACTACTCATGGTGGGGGGGGGGGGGAAGGATGAGTAAAACCTTAGATTTCTTCATTTAAATCTGTAAAATATTCCAGGACTTCTAAATGAAGTCATTATTAATAAACTGATTACTTTCTTTTTCTTTAGGTTATTATTATGTAGAAATTAGAACAGACATGTATGAGTTCCTTAACATCATTTAACATAGCATTCTTGCCAGAAAGAGCTAGCATGTTGTTTATTGTTGTCTATTTCCCATCTGCTGCAAAATGGGACTTCTGTTGGTTTCAGCCCATTTTGTCCACTGGATGACCAGGAGCTCAGGTTCCTGACATCAAAAGAAGAGGGAAATAAACTTTTCTTATCTGCTTTTATGTCCTCTCCTGTAAGTGCTTCCCTGCAATTGAATATACTAGGTTTGTCCACGTGATCATGTCTATTGTCCTGCTGGACACTGCTCCAATATGAAGAACGTATTAATGGGACACTAGCCTTGTCCCTCAAGGGCTTATTTCCCGTTTGTAGCCAAATAGGCTTTTAAGCCATAATCCCTGTTCTTAATATTCCTTACATCCCCACCACTGGAAAGGTTGGTTGGGGTTATGATCACCAGTTAGAAATCCAGCTTCATTTCCATTTTTGGAACCCATCAAACTAAACCTCAAACAAAGCTCAAGCATCTCATAAGCAGTAATTCTGAAGCCAGTTTCTAGGTTTTAAATGTTCCCAGATTATACTGCTGTACAATAATACGATTTATTATATTATCCTATAGACTATATGCAAACATCTTTATCAAAGGAGATATGCTTTATTAGTAAACCCACTGAATGTAAAAACTTAATAAGAAGATGAAATGTCAATTCATGTAACCAGAACAATAACAGACTAATAGCCAATGGAGGCAATGGGCATGCCTCTTCTAAATGAGATATATTTTAGACTTGTTTCCTAAAATTCCTGAAGAGTACAAAGATCAACATTTGAATTAAATTGGTGAACTTCAGAGTAACCTTTGTTTCCCTTTTTAATGATGAATTAGCGAGCTGAATGGATCCAGGGGGTGGTTTGTATGTGACAAGACTGATTTGCATGCTAACCTAACACATATTTACCATACCACTACAAAGTTTAGAAATAAATTTTGACTCATGCAAAATTTTTACCATAG